GTTTTTAACTATACTTGCCAATTTCCCAAATATATTTGATTAGTTAATCATTTTATTATACTATAAAAAAAAAAAAACTCATGACAGAAACCAAATTTGTACTGCTTGTTGTTTGTTTGTCATTCAAACATTGTTGAGTACCATTCGAGTAATTGCATTTATTCTGCATAATGCGGTTAAAGAAATATTAGTTCGACCACTTTAGTGTACCGAACACTTTCAGTTTTTCATTCATCAGTTTTCATTATGCTTTTCCTATTTGAAACCTCACCCACCAGTTTGTTATCCATCTTATCCTTGTTAACCATCTATGAAATGCCACGTGGACGTAGTTTCCTAATCAAACGTATGGCTGTTGTTGTTCTATTCGGATTCGCATCCGGTTCCACCATATCGGTTCATTTGTCAACCAGTTTGTACCGAAACTACTCGAACGAGAAAGTGCGTCTAATGGTATTTGGTTTAATCAAATTATTTTGTTAACCGGATTGTACCGAAACTACACAGAAAGAAAGAGCCACGTAAGATTGGGATAACGGAAGAAGCAGTGGGAGTGTGAGAAGAGAAAGAGACGATGAGAGCTCTGACATGGACGGGACTCTCACCGCCGTCAATGGTGACGCGAACGTCGACTTCGACGGTTAACTTACGACGGATTAGTCTCCGGAGAGATCGCGTCTGTGTTAGAGCTACGGCGTCGTCGAGTGCGACGGTTTCCGGCGAAGGAACAGCAGAAGCTGTAGAATTGGTTGAGATTGGAGAGAGATCTAAGAAATGGAAGTGGAAAGGAGAATATTCAATCAATTACTTCGTGAATAATTCGCCGGAGGAAGTAACTCCGGCGAGTCAGACTCTTCTCTTGGTGCATGGCTTTGGCGCTTCAATTCCTCATTGGAGAAGGTAATCGTTATCCCTAATTGGAACCTCAAATCCCTAATTGTGAGCTATTAAGTCTTTAAGAGTAAAAATGTATGAGAATGCGAAGCTTATTGGGAAGTTACGTATCTATGTAGTGAAGCTGAGAGAGAGTTTTGTTGTTTAGGAGAAGTGTTGATTAGTTAAGGATCAAGATTATTGTCAAATTCAGCTCTCGATCTTCAGTTTCCATTTCACGTTTTGCAGGAACATAAATGCTCTGTCCAAAAACCATGCAGTGTATGCGATTGATCTTCTAGGTTTTGGTGCTTCGGAGAAGCCGCCTGGTTTTAGCTATACTATGGAGTCATGGGCTGAAGTTAGTAACAATCATTGCAAATACAAGGCATTGTCTGTTTTAAAGAAGTATTTTGGTTTTGTTTTTGATTGATTTATTTGGTTGCAGTTGATACTTAGCTTCTTGGAGGAAGTAGTTCAGAAACCGACTATTTTGATTGGAAACTCTGTTGGAAGCCTTGCTTGCGTCATTGCTGCCTCAGGTCTACTAGCTCCTTGGATTTGTTTATGCGTCTCATTATTKTGTATTTTGAACTAAGACTCGAGTGTGTGTGACTTTTGGATAACGAAAAACAGAATCGGGACAAGATTTGGTCAAAGGTCTTGTTTTACTGAACTGTGCTGGTGGTATGAACAACAAAGCTGTGTTTGACGACTGGAGAATCAAGCTGCTGATGCCATTGCTCTTGCTTATCGACTTCTTACTCAAGCAAAGAGGAATTGCTTCCGCACTATTCAACCGCGTTAAAGACAGGCATGTCATAAATTCACTTCATTATCTTTTTCCTAACTTTGAAAGGATATAATCAAGAAGTTTAACAGATTGATTAATAAACAAAACACAGGGATAATCTCAAGAACATCTTGACGAATGTTTATGGGAACAAGGACAATGTAGATGACACCCTTGTAGAGGTATAACCAGATGACCCACTCTGATATCTCAATGACAAAGAACCAACTAAATTTGTTACCTTTTATGTGGAAAATGTTATGATAGATTATCGCTGGACCAGCAAACAGCGAAGGTGCGCTAGATGCGTTTGTTTCAATCTTAACGGGTCCACCTGGACCAAACCCGATTAAGCTGATTCCGGAAATAACCAAACCGGTTCTTGTCCTATGGGGTGACCAAGATGGATTAACCCCTCTCGACGGTCCTGTAGGTAAGTACTTCACATCACTTCCGGGTCAGTTACCTAACTTCAGCCTCTATGTTCTGGAAGGAGTTGGACACTGCCCACAAGATGATCGTCCGGATCTTGTCCATGAGCGTCTCCTTCCATGGCTGGCTCAGCTTTCTTCCACATAGTCTCTATTTGTTTCAACCATTTAATTGGGTATACTCACCAATACCGTGTTTATAAATGTGTAACATATTTATTCTTGAGTCTATGCATTAGATAGCCAAATTTTACCATTTTGTTTACAAAAAAAAAAAAGACACGGTAAAATCGTAAAGAAGTTGGTTTGTTTATTATGTGTTCTTTTTATTTTAAAAAAAAAATGAATTTTGTGCATTTTTCTTAAGAAATATCATGCTTTTTTATGTGATGACACGTTATTCTACACAATACCAGATTTTATTTAAATCATTTGCAAAATGCAAAATGAATAGGCCAATTATTTATGGGTTTACCACTGCATTTTTCATTTTGACAGAAAATTTGGTTATCTAACAGATAAATCTTTTATTGTTTCGATATTTTTTGTTCAACTTTTGGGAAAAAGACAGTTTAAAAATGGTATTTGATTCACGGTAGAGCGTAGATAGTAGGTTTGTGATATTGAATTAAAGAGTATATGTGGATTGTGATATTGGAGATAAATGGTACTCTCTCTTTTTTTTTTATAAAGGTTATAAATGTAGAAAGTGACTAGTTGGTTGGTGATGGTCCTATAGCAGCTATAGGCTATAACAATTGATACATTTTTTTGGTAGATCGATCATAAAAGACAAATGAGCAACTAGAAGCTAATTTTGGCCACAAATCTTCTTTCTTTTTTTGGCTAGTTGTTGAACCTTTAAAGGACGTGAATGCGGCAATATCATCAACACAATGAAGAGGACAAATCCTGAATCATACTAGGAGTATTAATATATTGTAATTATCTTATTGAAGTTTCTTGAGTTTGGTTTGGTGAATTTGA